ACCTGCTGGGGATGTATAACAAACCAGAGTGCTTCTCTGCAAAGTCCACAGATTCGTTTTAGTGTTTCAGTAGCAAGTCGACACTCAAACCTACCTTCTTAATACTGTTGCTTTGCTCGTCATCTTTCCTTGAGCTGACAGCGTTACTCTGAGAAACACTGTTGGATTCTTTCTCGCTGGTTGCTTCAGAAACACTGCTGGGGGCCTCTGAATTCAAATCCTTATCCTCTGCCTCTTTTTCTCCTGCGCTCACATATACAGAACAACACAAATCAATAGCAAAGCTGATTTATTTTTTCCTCCAACATTAATATTTTACTTATTCCTTGGTGCATTTACTTTAACGAGTGTTTGCACTTGATGTTCTACTTTGCATTTTTTTAGCATAAACCTATCGCTTACTGCTCGTACGAGAGAGGCTGTCACGCACATTACTACGATTTATTATTTCACATAGAAACACAGACTGTCAGACATCTGACCGTTCTCTGTGTCGTCTTCATTCTCCTCTCCCATAATGATAGCAGGGGTGTTTGTCTCTCCTGCCTCCATGTGTTTCTTGAAGGCCTCGAGCTGCTCTGTATTGCACACATACACATGTTAAAGACAGACAAACCTCATAAAATCACATAGATGTGCTGTCTACATACTCTGTTCGACTTCAGGTTTCAAGCGTTTGCCCTTAACACCAAATCCAAACCTCAATTCAGAAACTTGTTTTTTTTCTGCATGAATATATTTGCAGCTGCGAGATGGTCGGTTCGTAGCTTCACAGTCAACCCTTCCCCACATGCAGAAGATGCTCTGAGCACGATCAGAGGGTTCACTTGAAATTAGATTTGAGTGTGTATTTTGTAATATGAAGTTACATATACTATGAGTGGTGTTGTATGGGTGAGTGTGAGGTTAGAGGTCCCATGTTGCATGCTGTGGTACCTGGGGTCTGGAAGTTGAGTGAGACCATCTGGCAGCCTGCGTTCCAGAAGATCTGAGGCATGTAATTACTGGAGTCCACCCGGCCCCCTTTGGGGTAGATACGGCTCATCTGACGCTTGTTGTAGCTGTGCTGAAGCTCAGGAAAATTTGAAAAAAAAAGGGAGGGAGAACATGTGTGTTTCAACACATGTGTGTGCGCGTGTGTGCGTTAAACAGACTGTACAACTATTTTTAGTGTGAACAGCTTGGGTCAAGCAGTCCCACCGGAGGGGAGAGAGAGGTTTTGTGTCAGCCCGAGCTACACAGGCTGAAAGCACACTGGGCTCTAGAGGCCTCAAGTTCTTTTCCGACAGCAGAGTGGAAACAAATATGGCTAAAAAACATCAGTTCTGAGCCGACGTTCAGCTCTCATTTAGGTGACCCCAATCTATAAAGTTCAAACTCAGATTTCATTGGAAATGTATGTCTCTTCATGCATCTCAGTAAAGTGTCTGAGCTCTAAGTCTCATAGAGTTTAAACTTTAAAACTAAACTTGGTGAAATCTGATCTTATGCTGATTAAAGTTAACATACATCCTGTAACGATAACTTAAATGTTATATTTATCTACATTTTTCCTACCTTGGCGTCCTTTTTTTTTTTATAGCTGTTCTATTTTCTAGAAAAATCCACTGCAAATGGCTGATCTGACAAATGCTCAAAGGATACTTCACAAACTCAATGGCATTAGTCTTCAGATAGCCCAGGCCAACTGACTCGTTAAAAGATGACATGTTATGGTGGATATTCCTTTCTGAAAAACAAAAGAAAAGCTGATTAACATTTATTTTGTCAGGCAGTAATTGATTGATTGTTCTATGAGGCTCTTACATGAGAAATGAGAGCTAAAAGTTGAAGCTCTCACCTTCAGCTACATCAAAACTCTGGAACTTGACCGGCTGTGCATAGTTGACCATGGCTGACAGATACGGGTGGATGTTAGTGGTGGCTCCCACATAGGTGTACTGAGCTATCAGAGCCTCCTCTAAGTCTTCTGCCACATCTACAGTCTGCACAGCACAAGCACACATACACATGGCTCAATAACATAGTCTTATTCATCAGCCCAGAGACAGCAGTCAGCTTTTAGTGGGGTAAAAAGGGGACGGGATGGGCTCTTGCCTTCTTGTTGTTGTCTTGGTCAGATGCTTCAGAGATGTCTGTGGCGTCGGTTGCTTCAGATATCTCTGTCACCTCATCTTCAGGTACCTAAGAACACATCCATACAAAACACCCATTAATGGGATGTTCGTGTTAATGGTAGATTTGACTGAATTTGGGCCATAGTAGTCCAAAGTCCTATATTTAGCAAATGGTACAGGGGGAAAAAACTGTTACAGTTAGCTGTCTGTGAAGGTTCTCAGTCAT